AAGAGGTGATTGCATCCCCAAGGATTTTGTTGGTATAGCCCCTTCTATTAATATTGGCTTTTCAATATTCAATAATTCTGGAAAACCAATTGGTTTTATACAACAACAATGAGTGTTGACAACTGTCACGCCCCAGAACCCAAATCCGAGACGCGACAGACGCCGTGCACTCGTGAGACGGGTCCCACAAGTGCACAAGGCTCGGAACTTATCCAATTCACATCTGATATCACAAAAATCTAAAGATCAAATCTTTAAAATTTACTCTAACTTACAAGGTCACCATTTATATCTAAGATCCACATTCAAATTACAGGTGGCTAGCCTTCTAACTCGTCACTCCCCTTGGTTTTCCCGTCCTCGATTTCGTTTCCTGAAATGGTGGACAAGGAAAACTATAAAATAACTCAGTAAGTAAATATGGATAGCCCTTGGGTAAAACTTTTAAGCATGCCAGATAAACCATGTAAGTATAACAGAACTTTCACTGATAAACCGTTAATGCGGAAATCAAATTCGGTTCAATAGCAAAACATTCAATGACAAAACCGTCAATGTAAAATCAGATTCAGTTCAATAACAGTGTTTCATGACAAACCGTTCATGCAGAATAAATCTCATCAGTAGTCTCATCTATAAGCCATGGCCAGTGTTATAACAACCCACTGGCAGGCGACAGAAATTTGCCAATGTATTCGCCCAGAGGCAAGCGTCAGAATGAACCGGTCGTATCAGTAAACATGTCGACATGTGCTAGCGTTACACCCACTAGCGGGGATCAGGGATGCTACACACCCACTAGCGGGGATCAGGAGTGCTAGCGTTACACCCACTAGCGGGGATCAAGGATGCTACACACCCACTAGCGGGGATCAGGAGTGCTAGCGTTACACCCACTAGCGGGGATCGAAAGTGTTACACACCCACTAGCAGGGATCAGGAGTGCCAGCGTTACACCCACTAGCGGGGATCGAAAATCATGACCATATCAGAGACAAAACCATGCAGGATTCACAATCAAAATCCCAAATTTCAGAAATAACCAGAAAATTTCCATGTGGGCATGGGTTTAACCGGAAAATCATAATTTACAAAAATTCTCAAATCATCAAAGCAGGGTCATCAATAACATATCCACATCGGAGACAAAACAAGCAGAAATTAACAGAAAAATCTTAATTCACCAATCGCTTGCAAATCATCAGGACAATCACTTAAAGTCCAAGTAGGCATGCTCAAATCAATACAAAAAGATT